TTTTCCCCAAAATCTTTTTTCTGTCTTCTTTGGTTCCTCTCCCTTTCCTTCCCATCTACTCTCTTGATTCCTCTTCTATCCAGATTACCTGCCTCCTCACCCATCCAAAGTATTTTTCCCTACTCCATTGTTTGACCTTCCTGTTTTGCTCCCTACTGCTCTAACTATTCCTTTGCTTTCTGTTACCAATTCCCTTTCAAACCCAAATTGTTCTCCTTTCCTCCTTTAAATCCTGACCTCACAGAAAGGCCTTCCTTAATCCTCTGGAGGCATTTCCAAAACATAAAGTTGGCCCTCAGTGACATGGCTAAATAACTCTGGCATGTTTTTTCCTTATAGTCCGGCAAGCTTTCCTGTATCATGCAAGCAAAGCAAAATGGTGATAAATCAAAGCAGATCAGTCCTTCTGTCAACCATAGGGTATTATTTTTTCATCTTAATAAGAAGCAATGCTCTTCTTTCTCTTATTTGCTGTTGGGGTAATAATGGCTGACAGTGTGGAAAGCGTCCTCCACCCCTTTACCCGCCTTCCATGAATCTTCCTCATCCCTTCCGACCAAGCCAGTAATGGGCATGCATAACGATGCCAAGTGAGAGCCGGTAATGCTTCCCACATTTGGTGCCCACGAACAGGACTAAGTGTTACAGTGTTAAACCGCAACGTGCTGCTTCGAGCTGAGAGTGGAAGACTCCCTAAATCCTCGGCTGCCATGGCTGGTTAATTCCATAGATGTCGTCTCCATTAGTCCAGAGGAGAGAAGGCCCCTGATGGGAGAGCCGGGATGGCACTGGAGCTGTCAGCACAGTCTCCTGTAGTTAGGCCACGGGCCCTCAGAGCGTCGGGGGCCTCACAACAGGTGGTTTCACTATGAGCCTTTTCCTCTCTGCTTCCTCGCACTCCCTCTCTGAAGAAAATGAAACTTGATTGGAAGGAAAATGGCAGTCATTTTTTATTCTTCTCTGTGTTGTCATTTTGCTGATCGCCTACGCGTGATGTCTGGAAGACCTGATTCTTGTATTGCTCTCAGGCTTCTCCTATTTCAGACACCCGTTGGCAGATGCGTGACTTGAGTGTTTCTGAGTCATCTGTTTTTTTAAGAACATTTCTTTTACTTAACTGTGCCTTTTTTTTTCTTCTGTTTTACACTTGTAGACATTTTCTGTACAGGTGAGGGTTCACAGGAAATGAGTCCGAGTGGGCAGTATGAGCCCTCAGGGTTGCTTTCTTTAAGCATATGCTGAATTTCCTATGTGGCTGTTAGATATTATCACACTGGAAAATGGGCTTGCAGAACCGGTGGTGACTTCCAAGCAACTGCGTATGTGTGTAGTCCAAGCTTGTGTTTACTCTTGTGTTTAATATGCTCATCTCTTTTTCCTTTACTTTGTTCATGTTTCTGTTGCACTGAAAGGACTTTGAATCAAAGTGTCTGTGTGTGTTTGAGAGCGACAGAGAAACTGTGTGTGCGTGTTCATGCAGTATTTAGTTGCACTTTTGGCAGTTATCCAGTCAAAGCCTGTGGAGGTGCGTGTGTGCTGAATCTAAGTAAGGAAATTTTAATTCCACACCCAAAGACACACAACACTGCCACAGCTCTGCTCTCAGGCCAGGGAATCTCAAAGCAAAACTTCTGTCAACAAACACAATTGGTCACATTATTGACAGAGGGATTGGCTGTCAATGCCACACATTTCATATATTTTCACATGTAAGCCAGAAGCATGGATCATCCTATGATAAACATGCTGGTGGTCAGACACACTGAAGCTTTTCATGTCTGACAGACAGGTTTCAAGTTGGAAGAAGGCTGTAATCATTCCTTTATTCTGGATCAGATACATTTGAATCCTTTCCGTCTCCATCGTTACTGAAGATGAGAAATTTATTAATGGACTTGTTCCAATGTGTATGGCAATTAATACTGAAAATGCCTGTCATTAAGCATAACATACTTGGTGTTTGCTGGTACTAAATCTGGTACTAAAGTATATGCACCTTGACAAAATAGACTTGTTTTAATGGATAACAACCTCTTTGCAGCTCCTAATAAGTAGCCCATGCAGAATGTTGCACTGTGAAACTGTGGATTATGGTCATCACTTCCTCACAGGCAACTACCGTATTGTTAAAGGTAGCCAAGAACTGGTTTAGGTAAATGATAAATGGGCATGAGCTTGTATAGTGCTTAACTAGTCTCCTGAATACTCGGAGCGCTTTTACACTGTAGGTCACACCTACCCATTAACACCCATTCACACACTGACGGTAGAGGTTGCTATGTAAAGAGCAGCTTGGGGTCAAGTGTCTTGCCCAGTGACACATTAACCATGTACAGTGGCTGCAGGAGCTGGGGATTGAACCCCCAGAACCTTTTGGTTGAGAGACGACTGACTCTACCACTGAACCACAGCTGCCCCAACTCCAGGTTATTAATCATGCAACAAAACAACAACATTAAAGAGCTGGCAGTGATTGTAACATTATTCAGAGCTACACTGAGTAAAATCAAAAATCATGATTTGGCTATAAGCCTTAACAGCATATCTGAAGATGATGGGTCAACATCCCTTCAGTTAGCATCTTTCACATGATTTAAAAAAAAAAAAAACACAGGAGCCAAGTTTTCCAAAGAAGTCTTGTCCTCTCCAAACCCAATGGTATTTAAAATTAGTCAGGGTGAGCACTTTTATTTACCCTTTGGCAGTACATTGAGGAAGGCTGGAGACTTCATGTTCTTATTTAAATTGAACAGTTAGGCAAAGTTAACGAGGACTAAAGGGGCAATAAGAACTCCCCCTTAGCTAAGGGAAGGACGATTCTTTGAACTGCAGAACCTCGTAATGAACCCCTGCGCACCTGCCTGCCCTGTGGAAAGAAGTGGATATTGCCTTTGGCCTGAGCAAAGGAGATGGCGGCTTGTCATACTACATGACGGACAAAATTAATGACTTTGCTAGTGTTACTTAAAGCCTAATCAGCCGGTAGTGTGTTTACATTATGATGAATGACTCACCAAAGTGGTTTTCGGGTTTGAACTTTTCGAAAGTGGACAGCTCACTTTCAATAGAATATCATTACCTTATGCTTTTAATGTTTATTGTAATGATGTCAACCCTTGTGGATATCGGTTACAGTTTGATGTCTTTACAGGAGAAATGCAGATGAGCGGTGTGCGTTTTCCACTGAGCGCCAGAGGCGAATACTCCTTTGGTGGGGGCAGAGTGAGGAGGGGGGGGGTGGGGGGTGCTGAATGAGTGGATTAACCAGAGGAGAAATGGCACAGACAACGTAAGCCACAAGTTGCCCACAGTGGAACAAAGTGTGCCCTTAATGTTTGATGTAACATTATATTCAGCTCTCCGACACGTGTGTACACTCGTACTCTACGCTCATGCAAAAACATATCATTCTGCTCCGATGACTTACAGTGTGTTTCATATGTAACCCAGAATAGACTCGTTGCTCCGTCCTGTGTCAAGGGACCGTTTTTAAAATGATGAAGCTAAGAAGAATGCAGACTTGGTTTGAAAATCTTGTGGAAAGTATTGAGGGGTGGGTATCGGGAGCTGTTTCACCGTCTGATTCTTTTTCCCAGTCCATAATTTTCATGCTGCCTTCATCTTACTTGGGCGTATTGCATTATGTTTTTAAGTTAATTTATCACTGATTCAAAACTGAAATAATGAAAGAGGCTAAAAACAAGCCATGCCCATCATCAGAAATAGCATATTAGAAATCCGGGGGTTCTGGAGATGTAGCCAACATCTGTGTTTAACCAACATCTGTATCATAAATATCAAACTCTAGTCCTCAAATTATGGCTAAGTGTGGCCCTTTGATACTGGGAAACTTGATCACATTAGAGAAAGCTCAGGAAGTCTTTTTGACATCAGAGTCAGAGAACATGAGGGTTAGGGTACACCATAAACCAGGGCTATTCAACATTTTTGTTCAGGGGGCCAAACATTCAGAAAGCTAAGGAATCGGGGGCCAGACAAGCAAGCCCACCGCAGCAGTGCACTGAGCAAAAGCCGTTTTTCCCCATCAACAACACAAGCTTGTGAAAGGCTGCGAGCACAGGACCAAAGATTTTCTATTTAACGAGAGCGCAGTGCTGTTTTTAAAACTTTACTTAGGCAACAATGACTGTCATTCACAAGTCCCCCCCTCCCCTGTTTATTAGTTATCTATTTTGTAATTGAAAATAGAACTGATCTACGGGCGAGTCTGATGTCATCTGCGGGCCGGAGTTGGCCTCTGGGCCGCCAGTTGAATAGGCATGCCATAAAACAATCAGCCGAGACAGAGGCCAACAAACAAAAAAATTCCACAAATAAACCACACCACTTTTTGAAAATTTTGGAAGTTCTGAGAGGCAAGTAAGGAAAAGAAAAACTGGTGATGAATTTTTCTCAAGAAAAGTGACTCAAGAAAAGTTGGTGGAAATGATCTTGATCAGTAAATTCTTTTAAATGTCTTCATCATTTTTAATCATTGAGTCAGGTGTGAAAAAAGCAAAGGTCTCCCATTATTTCTCATAACAAGCCTTATTAGTAAAAAAGAGGTTGGAAAAAAAGGAACCTTAAAACCTAACAGAGCCTGGTTATGATCAGTGTGTGCACAAAAGACGGGATGTTAAATCCTCAACATGTCACCAGGGGAAAATCTGACTAAAGTGTTTGAGTGTGATTTCCAGGGAAACTGTTGGCCGAGTGTTACGCTGTTCTTCTTTCACCTACAGCACAGATAGCTGTCATAAAAACGAGCTGCACAATACAATATGAGGTATTGGACATGGAGCTGTGGAGGTGTTTGCCAAGACACTGAAACGATCATAAATTGGGGAGCACAGCTGCGGGCTTATGTGTGCATAGAGTTGTGTCTGAAGTCAGACACCCCAGACACGCATACTGACACAAACATTTATTTTTACTTATATATTTCTGTCTTCTCTCTCTGTCTGCTTTCTGTTCGTCGGCCGTTTCATCCTGACCTCCAGCTGGGTTCAGGAGAAGCTTCCGTCTCAGCAGGAGGGACAAGAAGACCAACAAGTCCATGTACGAGTGTAAGAAGAGTGAGATATACGACATGGCTGACGTGCCCACGTATGAGGAGGTCGCCCCATACCGCAGGCAGAGTGGAGCTAAACACCGACTGGTGGCCCTAGTAGGTGAGTGAAGAGCTGTGGCCTGTTGGAATAAATGGTAAATGGACTTGAGCTTGTATAGAGCTTTTCTAGTCTTCAGACTACTCAAAGCACTTTTACAGCTAAGGTCACACCTACACATTCACACACTGATGGTAGAGGCTACTATGGAGTGAAACCATCAGAAGTAACTAATCCCATTTATATGCCGCCGACGAAGCAGCGGGAGCAATTTGAGGTAAAAGTGTCTTGCCCAAGGACACATCGGACATGTTGCTGCAGTAGCTGGGGATCGAACCCTCGACCTTCCGGTGGAGAGACAACGACTGTGGCTCAATGTGTAACTTGAAAATAGTTAGTTTGTAACTTAACTTGTACGTCGACCAAAGTGGAGTGGCCCTGCTGGCATGCGCCGGAGACAGACCACTGTCCATGCAGTGGAAACACAAGCATTTGGTGCTTAGGTGACCAAACAGTTATGGGGACTTTTTGTTTGAGTCCCCTGAACTATCCACTAGGGAGTTCCCTGATAACTACACTCCACCATGGGGATTTATTCTTCTGTCTGCATTCACACCACCATGGTGCTTGGAGAGTACCTACTCTGAAGCAGGAGTTAAAAATGTTCCTCTAATCGGTGTTCTAAGAAGTAAAGGTGTTCATCGATCCTGCGGTGCGGAATCTCTAAAAAAAACAAGGGGGAGGCTTCCTACAGTTCCTAGAACTATGGAAACGTTTCTGGAGTCTGAAAACGCCTATTGACTAGTGGTCAATAGTGCAACACCCTTATTGTTAGTAGTGGCTAAACGGTCCAAAAATGAAATCATTTTTTAAATAGCCTATTTTTGAAATTGCGCATAGAAAGTGCAACCCTGGATTCTTGCGTTACTTCTTGCCTCACACTTTGTTTTGCTGTTCAACTTGGCACCAAAGATTTTAATAAAAATCCTCACCTCCCATCATGGCGACAGATACGACTCTCTGACTCAGAGATCTGCAGCTCTGGAACCCCCAGGTGGCTCAGACTTAACCCCCCCCCATGAACCGCCAACCCAGAAATGAGCTTTGCAATAGAGGGACTCACATGCAGTCACCCACAGCGTCCTTAATTTAGATTTTTTAGCACCCTGTGGAACCGTCACAGCAGACCTCATATTCCTCAGTCACATTAGTGCTTTCGTTTACGGCACCTCACTCTCAAAGTCCTTTAGATGGAATTGTTCACACTCTCCACGATGAGCGTGTGTTACAAATCCCTCCAAAGAGCTTCACAATGTGCCAAGGACTTGAAATGACTTTAGTGGTTTCTTATTCTGTATTTGTGGTTGGAAGAAGAGCGTTGCCAATGAATGGTGGAACAATTTACTAATCCAGGTGTGAAAGTAAAGTCTTAAATCTTTTTCAGGACCAACTGTGCCATCAGTGACATCTAGGGTTTTCCACATTTTCCCTTTTTAGGTTTGTTACTCATGACAAAAAATGACAAGAATGTCCCGGTCAGAGATGGAACAAAGCATTCCCAACATTTTCAGCGTCTCCTTCCAATCTGTTTCCATTCATCAAGGGGGGGAGACCTAAAAAGTCTGCTCCGGTATTCAATATTTTAATTCAAATACTCCAGCAGCATTTTTAAATTTGTGAGCAATGAAAACCACTGGTGACATGCTCTCAAGGTCTTATTTTTCCCTCTTGCATGCTCTCTGCTGAGGTGTGCTCGCAGCCTGATTGTCCAGGCCTTGGTTCACTTTTGTACGCCACCAAGGCATGGACTTCATCAGGCTCGTAGCTAATTAGCAAACTCATTTTCCTGCCAGCATGTCACAACCTCACCAAAACCTCTCCCTCCTGTCACGCTAATGTAAATATTTTCAATTAACTTCCATAATTTGGAGGACAACCTATGGACAACTTCACACATAACGAAGCAGAGGGCCAAGGCGAGATCTGCTTTATGTTTCTCTGCCTCCACTTCTCTCCTGCTTCCTCTCCCCGGAGTCTCTTGATTTCTCTTATTAGAAATCTTTTCTATCCAACGCCTTCTCTCTATAACTGTTCTTTTGTCTTTTCCTTTGCAAGACCACAAATAAGAGTCTGCTCTTCATTAAATATTTAAAGCTTGTTTTAAAAACCCAGCCAAGTCATAGAGAGCCCAGGTTGAAATTTTCACCCAACTTCCCCAGCTCCACATGTCCTCTGCCCTTTTTCACTTCAGAAAACGAATCATTCAAAGTACATATTCAGTTTACATAACCTTGGAGGATTTATTACTCTAAGTTCTTAAAGTGCCCTAATGTTCGACGGAGGAAGCCAAGAGCAGACTCTGCGTTACTGTGCGGTAATCAATTTAATCTCCTGAAAAGTCGACAAACAATAAATGATTCATGTCTTTGGTGTTAAGAACAGAAATGTTCTCGTATCGCAGTGTACAGATAGTGTAGGTAATATTGTTTTCATTCAACAAAGTAACTTAAATACTATTATCTCATGACTTAGAACAAAATGATAGCTGTGGCCCTACTGCAACTCGTAAACCATCCAGCATCTCACAGTTGTCAGATATTACACAATGTTGAGCGCAAATATTCATTTAAATCCACTTTAACTAAAGACAGTATTTAAGAACTGGATGTAACCTTCAGATCTGGGAATCAACGCAAAAGCACAGATGCCTTAAAATTCTTTCCAATCGCCAGCAGGGGTCGACTCGTCTGTTCACAAGACCAAGTCAGACAGTTATAATGTAAATGATAAAATAACAGGTTTTAGGTCTAAATCTGTAGATTCAGGTCTTCTTAATTAATTGAATAAAGTATTGTGCAGATGGTACAAAACAGAACAAACAAAACAAACCTGTTTTTTTCCCAGACACACATTTGTAGAGAGCTGCTTTACAGCCTTAGTATATTTGATTGACAGGTTGCTAGCATAGCATAACACTTGTTCAGTGTGTAGTTTTAGCTAAAGACACTTTGTGTTGGCTGTTAACTTTTTAATAACTAGGTTTTGTTTTGAGCCCAGCCCAAAATTGGTTTTCCAATCAAGTTATAGTCACCGTTGATTAAATATGCAACTGGGTGACCAAGTAGCTTTAGCTTAGCTTTACATTTCACTGGCTTCATTCAGTTCAACCATGTTGTTTATTCATAAAGAAAACTTGGCTAAAAAAAGATAACCACAATGCCATACTGGAGGCTTCATAACATTAGTTTGAAATCAAAGTAATGTCACCGTGGCTTTATCCCCTTCTTACGTACAGTTTATGTCTGTAACCCAGATGCTATCGCAGTACAGTACATGCTAATGATACACTGCTTGGCATGGAAGCATCCCAGTTACTGCTGTTGGACGTAAGCTAATTAACTCTATACGCTAATAACTGAATCACGCTAGGTCAGGTAAACGCACTGATCAACCATCATTCATACACTTCTCCGACTTTACTTTTGACTTTTTACAAGCAGAAAAGAAAATACATACTTTCCAATTATTTCAAACATGAATATCACTTAGTCATATCAGCTTTTAACAGACAGAGAAATCTTTGCATTAAACGCCTGAGGGCTTCATTAATGTGGAAGCACAGATCCACACATTAGCCTCTAATGAATGACCTGCTGCCAACCTCTCACATTAAAAATGGAGCACAAAAAACGGAGTCGGAGATCTGTTTCAAAGACAAGTCCAGATGCTTATCTAGGTTTTTATACATTTTAATTCAAACAGCCAAGTAAAATATAGTTTTACATTAAGCATGCATAGTTTGACTTAACCACTGATGTTTTTGAAAGAAATCCGATTATTTAACCTGACAAATGGTGTGCTGATTTCCACATTTCCTTGTAACTTGACACACTGAAGTTCCAGACAGAGTTTGATGAATTGAATGTTTTTAGTTTGGGGTTGAGCCCTAACGTAGTTCAAACACACTGAAGCCTAAGTGAATGTTTATGTGGTATCCAAATTTATAAAATTGGACCTCTATTTCAAGAGCTCTCTTATGTTGAAAGTGTAGTGGCGGTGTATTGTAAATGATCTGTGGTTACCACACTACACCACTGTCATCCTTTAAATGTGGTAGCAGCACAGCCAGCACTAAGAGCAGTGCTGTGATTCACCCTGCCCTGGATGTAGGGAAGGTCGGGAGGTATCGAGCCATGCTTCGGCCTCTCAGCACAAACTGCATGCGATGTGCCCCACGCTTTGCCTGTAAGTTATTAACGCTCACAATATTAAAGGCAACTTCTCTAATGAGTGCCGTGGTAAAGTCCGACACTTTTACTGGCACGGCGCGAGGGCCAGCGAGAGAGAGAGAGATACCGGGGGGGGGGGGGGGGAATACATAAACACATAAACACAATGTAAATACTGCAGCTTCATCCAGAAAAAATTGGAGGAGTTTTTATTTTGGCGTTCAGATTTATTATGTTGCTGTTGCGTTGAGGCATTGTTGAAACAAACAATGCACAAAGAGGGGGGCATGTTTAAGGTCAGATGGTGAAAGAGGACCACAGGGTGCTGCTTTTACTCGTAAAATGCCTGGTGGTGGGCCTGTTGGGCCCCCTTGGCAGGCGGTGGTGCGGCTGGAATGAACTTTAACCACCACCTGAGGTATTCTGATGAAGGCCTGCTGCTATGCATCATTGATATCACAAGTGGCAAGCAAGGGAGCGATGTACAAGGTGAGAATGGTTTAACGAGAGTGCAGACGTGGGGCCGTAAGTCAAACCAAAGGGAGCAAAAAAATTGCTCTGTTGGTCCCCCGTGTTCCGGCCCTGATATCCACCCTCAGAGTCAAGCAAACAAGCAATGTGTGGAGGTTCGTGGCCTGCAGGGAGGACTGTCTGCACCCCCTGTGATAGGGCTCATAAAAGAGCCTCTATTAGCACGCTCTGCCACCTTCAGCACCTACAACAACATTGATCCACATCCTTGTTCAAACAGCACCGCTGCATTCCTCCCAAGCTCGCGAAACAAATTCAAAATGAACTCCATTTCCTCATCTTAATAAATCACCCAGAGTCTCAACCCCTGGGTTATCCTCTGTGAAAAACTCCCTCTCCTCCGATAAGATTGATTGCTGTCTGTGCCTGGCCTCGTGCTTGTTTATGAGACGCTTGCCACAAAATGCCTCACGCCGTCTGTCCAAACTGGGTCGGGGTATTTATCTTCTATTTTTCTTCTTCTTCTACTTTAAATTCGCTGAGGAGTGTGCGAGCTGCGCTGAGGAAACAGCTTTTATCGCTTAACAGCAGTCGCACAAAAGGACCCGAACCATGTGTTGCCGTGTGCAGGAGCAAAGGGAAAGCATGGGGTGTGAATTTGTCCGTGTGTGAAGGCTGCCAGTGTTCAGAGATTACACTTGAAAGAGCTCCGTTGTCCACACCTAGTTATCAGGTTGTGGATCTCTCTCTAAGCCTTCCTGCTTCACGACCAGATGAAATGTAGAGGAACCCCGCAGATAGTGCAAGAGAGGAAACAGGGGCTCTCAGAGTTTGTCTTTTCAATATTTTTCTCCCTTTTCTTTCCACCTCATCCACATCGCTGAGTGAACTCATTGTCCGTTTGTTTTAGAGGAGCGGCCTGCTAAACACATTTGCCTGGAGAAACGAATTTCCAATGCGGATCTGATGCGATTGTAGTGCCTGCCCAGAACGCCAGGCATGTGAGGAATCTCAGGCTCGGATCGAGTGCCGTCTCTCACTGTCCTCTCACACTGCAGAGAGGAGCGGTGCTGGAAGGAAAAAAAAAAAAAAAGACACACAAAGCCGTACACTTGTTACTTCAAAACGGATTTCTTGCCCAGTTAGTCAAAGACACTGATGTGAGTCGGTTTACATTTGGATGATTATATCACCCTGGTTACAATAACCACCAAAATATTGCCGAATTGTTTGAATTGTACAGATGGAAAACTGAGAAAGGAAAGGGAACGTTTGGATCTGGATTCAGTGACTTCTACCAAAGTAAAACAATTGAAAACAAGGTTCTTAGTTTAAAAAACAAAAACTTTTTGTCTCTGCGCCCACAAGTCATTTTAGAAGTATTTTTCATATTTTGACTGCAAATGAAAGCAGCACACAAGAGGGCTGAATTAGTTTGGGTTGTTTGTTTGATGTTTGATTAAATAAAAAGAAGAAGTCATTCAGCCCTCTTGTGTGCAGTGAATCTCCTCATCTGCTTCCATCACCATGAGATTCTTTTTAACATCTCAACATGAATAAAAACAAATACTTTGCTGTACTGTAATGTATTTAATATAGTATGGTAAAACATAGTTTTGGGATACTCAGGTATGCTGATGTTTCTTTATTAGCACTTATTAGCCATGACAACTCGTCCTGCACCAGTTAGTCAGAAGGTTCAGTTCCTTGTGTTTTGGGGGGAATCAGGGTTTTTTTGTTGGTTTTTTTGTGTGGACACCTTGAAATCTAGTTGTATCATGCTGCTTTCTCCAACGCTGATTTCTCAAAGCCTTAACATTAAAATCAATTCATTAATTAATCAAATGATCTGTAGCATTTACATTTTTCTTATTTGGCCTCTTTTTATTTGCTTTTGGAGAGACAGTGCAGTAGACAGAGAGTGAGGAATGAAATGTGGGATAGGATCCACAGGTCAGATTTGAACCCGGGTCACCCGGTCCAAGGACCACAGCTCCACTTGTACACCAGCGCCCCGATATTTAACTTTTTGATTCTTGAAGAATGCTACTGATGAATCACAAGTCAATACGTCTCTCTGCTATTGATGTGATAGAATATCCAGCTGACTTCTGACAATAAGGATGGGCGTCTTTTTTAACATTTACTGTAAATTGACAATATATATATAAAGGAGGTTTGAAGTGAGAGAGGGTTGAGTTAAATGCCGACGGTAACTTTAGACTTTCTGTAGCTTTGTCGTATTAAATCAATTCTCTTTGCTTGAAAGGCCTTCACAGGGTTGATTGTGTTTTAATAGAAGATGAAATTGAACTCACCCTGTGGTAAATTGATTTATTATTAAGAAAGAAAGACACGGACAGATTTTCCTTTTCTTAGAGAGAAAAAACACACACAGTGACTCCGGTCTGGAAATGTACGGAGAACCTTAAAGTAGGAAAACAGGTAAGAAGATAACGAAGAAGTCACTTTACTCAGATAAAGTACTATTTACATTTCAATTCATACAATAACTTATTGATAACAGAGAACGTTTGAATGTATAAACTACACAAAGCAAAGCAAAATATATAATCATGTCTTATACAGGAAAAGCAAATAAAAACGTTTGATTATGTAAGCACCTTTTGACCTCTCCTTCTTTGTGTAATATTAATACTGGTCATATGTAATCACAGACCAGGATCAGGTCTACTTCTTCATCAACTTTACGTCTGTTATGTACTCAATTTAACACTCCAGTTTTAACAAACACTTCACTAATCTTTGAGAATGAATAACTTTCTTCTGTTGCTTTGAATGGAGCATTCTCAGTCAGAATAAATGACCCTGATTCAACGTCTGACTTTGTGATCTGAGTTTGTTTGTTTGTTTTTGTGCAGGACCCGCAGGAGTCGGCCTGAATGAGCTCAAGAGGAAGCTGTTGATCTCAGACCCCCAACACTTCAGTGTGACCGTCCCCCGTAAGTTAACAACACTCACCTCAGAGTCCACTTTACCTTCGATCTTTCCCTTACACCTTCTCCCTCCTGTCTTCTCTCTGTGTGTTTGTGTGTCTGTTGTCTACACCTTATGTCTACATTGTACCTCTTGTACATAACGTCGTATTACAACACTTTACATGACCATGAAGGCTGCTTAGTTTACAAGACAGGAAACACTTAAAATAATAATAATAAAATAAAAGGGACGGGTCGAGTCCAGGTCTGGACATCGGAAAACAACACAGAGAACATGACAGCTACTTTACTGACTTTGTGTCTTATTTTGAGTCAGATTAGCCAGATACAACAGGAATACCCAGAGATTTATCCATAATGAAGGCTGTCCATGTCGTGTACCCGTGCTGATGTGAAGTGTGCTTAGGCACAGTACAGATCGCCTTGAGTGAGTGCGCCCTGAGAAACGGAAGTGCACAAGATGCCAGATCAAATTCTTCCTCCACAGGAACCCGATACAGGGTAGGGCTCGTGCTCTCCTCGAGGCTGAGCGCTGTTGTTGTCAGCTTTTTCACAGTCTGCCTGACAAGCTCTGAATGATGGAGGAAACAGCGTTTCTCTACCTCCTGAGGACATGCCATTCCACTGCTTCACGAGTTGGCACCAAAGCTACCTGCTTCTCCTTCCTCTCACACTTTCTGTCAGTCTTTTTTCTGTCTCCCTCCTCCTCGACTCCTTCTCCTTTTGAGAACCTTAGCGACAGCACGCCATAATTCTGAAAATCATCCAGCTCTGCTTCAAACAACTGGCTCTCCAAGTCTGCAAGCTTTTTATTAAGGGTTTTTTTTTTTCACTGAGATGTCCCAAAGCCAGCATGTTGGGACAAATAAATCTGTTTGATTTATACATTATAGTGGAGCAGCGGCAGTTTAAATTGTGTATTAGCCGTCTAGGGCTTAATGGGAAACTGCTACTCTCGTTTTTGGATCACACATTTTTAATTGCTGTGTTTGTTACACACCCGGTGGCATAATGGATGTGTGTGTCAATCCAAGCTTGACACTTGAAAATGTCCCTGATATTAAAATCTCATCGGTGGGGCCTTTGTTGCCACACAGCATGTTAATTGTTCTCAAATGTAACCCGTGATGCCGTGTTTAATGCAGCCCAGACAGGCTGAATGCGACCCATATAGAAGACGTATGCCACAAGTCCTCTCATTCAGAGGGAAGAAAGAGACTCGGGGAAAAAATCCTGTCTCCCACTTTTTTCATGTTTGATTGCTGCCAACAGACACATGGATGTGTTTAACACTTGCTGTTGTTTCAGATTCCGCCTGAAAGCGTTACCTCTTTTTGTCAATTTAAAAATCGGCGTTCTGGAGACCACCACCTCATGGCCCTGGTTTCTTCCCCTCTCTCTCTCTCTCTCTCTCTCTCTCTCTCTATCTCTCTCTCTCTTTGCTTGTCACTGTAAAATACAAACCAGCCGCCCAAGAAACTCAAGGAGCATTGCAATAAGCCATTAGAGTAGGGGTTAAACTTTTTGATTCCAATCCAATATTACTGATATTTTCCATGATTTGGGACAGAACGGATGCACATTCTTTTGTTCCCCTGTAATTATTTTCTGGGCCCACAAAACAGACGCCAAAGTAACACATGGTGGATGGTGTTGGTCTCACTACCAAGGGACTGTTTGGCACTGTGTCTGGGACACTTCTGATTGGGAGGTATAACTATATGTTATCTTATGACAAGGCTGTTTTGGCCTCCTCCTCCTCCTCCTCCTCCTCCTCCTCATGTTTTTTCCGACTGGTGTCTGAAGCTGATGACAGAAAGTCGTTGATCTTCCTCAGTGTCTTCTCCACCACAGCTGGATTTACGGCTGTCTTTCCTTCTCAAGCGAGTGACACAATGTATAAATCACACCATTGGTTTTCCATGAACCCTGTAGATCAGCCTGGACCATTTAAAGGAAAGAAAGCGCTCCACTAAACAGGGCACGGCCTTGACACACGGTGACGAAAGAGCAGCTCAGAGGAGAGCGAAGCACAGCTCGGTTGTTTTGGTTGCAGGTGATAAAAGTTTAATAGTTTGTTTTGGAGCTGCTCGGAGTGTCTGACGGCTGAACACGTCTCCCCTCTGACCTCTGAAGCGCTCCTGAAGCGAGCCGGAGTGTGAGCCGACCCCTCGACCCTTACAAAATCCACCAGCGCTGCCTGCTCGCTTTTCCCTCCACGTGCCGCCCCCTCCGCCCATTTTACAGCAAGGCTTTATGGTTTATGGCCAAGTAAATGTAGAGACTTGATGTTAATGAGAGCTCCAAACTCAATTACCTTACAGCGGCTAACGCTGGCGGCTAACGCTATGGCTTCTGTTTCTACAGCCTCCGCAGCCACATTACAAGAGACAAATTTAATAAGACTCAGTAAACCTCTGCTGAATGTCACTTAAGTGTCTGGGTTTAGTGCTGCAGCACTGCAGGTTGTGTATTTTATAGAGCTATTACACAATAATATATACAAGGGTTGGCATGGCCCAGCGTGCTGTGTTTTCAGACTTCCAGCGATGTTAATAAGGGGCTCGGTTCAGAGGCTTTCTGGCCCAACAGTGAGTCAGACAGTCTGGGTTTGAGGTAATCGCTCATTTTTTTCTCTCTCTCTCTCTCTCTCTCTCTCTCCTCCCTCTCTCTCTTTCTCTTACAGACACCAGTCGAGCCAAGAGGAACCAGGAGAGCGACGGCGTGGAGTACCACTTCATGTCCAAACACCTCTTTGAGACTGATATCCACAATAACAAGTAGGCACAACCGGGTCACTTTTTAAAACAAACTTTACCACACATCTCTTTTATGATGTCAATGTTCACGTCTTTGAAACCTCATCATTCAATATTCAGTCATATTACAGCTTAATTCTCCAAATATAAAGATATTTTCTCTTGTGTAATTATGATGGTTTGTCTTGGGAAGTTATGAACCTCATTCTTAACACATCTCTCACTTTTTGTTTGAACTCTACTTCCATTTTTTTTTCACCTGAAAGTGGCCAAAATTCTTACCTAATGCTGTTTATGTCGGGTAAATAATCTCAATTTATGTTGTCAATGAATTGAATTACAGAGATACAAGTTCACTTACAAAAGCAGAACTTAGTGAATGTTTTGCGTTTTCTCTTTATGATTGCGTTTAACCAGTGAATATCCAAATCCTTGTTAGCTTCTTCACAGAAGACCATAAAACTTAAAACCAAAGCAGGTACCTATTTAAGAGCCGTTCCCTTTTACTAGCCTGGTGTTGCTGAATGGTTTTTATATATATATATATTTTTTTTTTAAGGTAGGTCTCAGTTAGAGGCCCTGTGCAGTTTTTCAGCTGCATCGTTTTTACAGTTTTATAGTTTTTCCCATCTTTGCATTGCACAAGTTTTTTTTTTATTTATATTTCATAATGATGCATGTCCCAAATACACAGATACATTTTGTAGACTGAATTAAAAAAAAGCCAAGGCTGTTAATTGATCCCATGACTCAACTTTTAACCCTAATCACACTAGAAGAGACGACACAGAATCTTTAACCTATTTCAAAGTTAACTTAAAAAAAACGTTTTGAACACGCAAGATTAGAACACATCTGAATCTGTACTCTTGACCACTAGAGGCAGCGCAGCAGTGAGAGCAGCAGTCCAGAACTTTCTGCACGTTTCACACACACACAGCCTCCCTGCTGTTGTCTGTGTGTTTCTGTAACTGAGTTTGAGATGGTGTTGACAAGGCCGGGCCCTGTGTTGGTAACAGATCTCCAGACAGTGGCCCCGAGGTCTCCTGTCTCTGCTTCCTGCTTTCCTTAGGCGCTCTCTCTGAATCCAGCCACACCACGGCCCGCCTTGACATTTGCGGCCAACAAATTGAAATGCAACTTGTAATAGTCATAAGAATGATTGATGCCTCTCTGCCGGTCTCACACGAACTGGAAGGGGGGGGGGGGGGATATACTGTAGGGTTCATGCAAAACATTTATGCACGCAAACACACACATGTACAAGTTATGACAAAGAGGGACGCCTGTGGTGGTGAGTGCATATAGAGTGTCAGAGCATGCAGAGAGAAGAAGGGGGGAGTGGGGGGTTGTATATTTAGGCCGTGTTGTGGTGAAGGTCGAGGCATGCGATGTTTTTCAGGGAGTCGGAGGGGTGAGTGGCAGAGCTGTGATGTGGGGCGGATGCGTGGGACACTGAAACGACTGAAATTGAAATTACAAGGCAGCAAAGTAGACGAGGAGACAGATGAACTTGTTTGCGTTATGCCTCGTTGCATGCAGTAACAACAATGCAGAAATAAAAGGTCTCGGAATTGGAGCCACAACAACGTGTGTTTAACTCGAACAACTTTCCCAAGGGAAGCCCTGTTCTGTGTCAAAATGGCAACAATCCATTGTCCCGATATAGCCCAACCTCTGCTGGCACGCCTTCCTGTAATCTATATTCCAACAGCGCAGAACACTGTAAGGTGTGACTTCATAAAGACAGGCTACTGTAAGCTCTTAAATGAATTTCCCATAACTGAATATGAGGGGGGGGTTTACAGACTAAAGCCTCCCTTCTTAAAAAAAATGCTGAGTAAAACTTTCTTACATGGGGCAATTACCATAAAACTTTATTTTTTTACATGGCATAAGTCACACAGAGGCACTCATTCTGCCCGACACTCGTCATGAGCAGACTGCGAGCATACCACACAGTCCTATTAGCTCCAAATTCTTTCCACGTTGTTACTCTCCTCGCTGCCTTTTTTTCCTCCTTGTTTTCAGCTAAAAATATACTGGTGGCTTTTCTATTTCGTGACAGCTGATTGGTGTGAAATGGGAAAGATTATCCGGTGGAAAAAGTGTTTGTTTGCTTGTGTCTACTTGCTGTCTAAATCCTGCTGGATTACAGGACGGGCGTTTTGGCATGCAGGGCCTTTGTGGTCTTTCTGGAACAAACAGGTGTTACTGATTGAACGGGGGAGGCGTAAAAGATTATATAAAAAACATGCCTGCCAAAATGTCTGGTTTTTAAGTTCTGCTGGAGAATGCTATCTTCAGATCTGTCAGGGGCTGAAAGAGTAATCCTCCTGTCTCTGTGGATTTGTTGGATTTTTATGTTTCATTATTTCTGAGATGAATCTCAGCAGCGTGCTGACACAGTCGTCCAGATAGGAATAAGAATCTAACTTTACTCCCAAAGGTTGTTAGTGTTGCAATGGATACTAATCCCTGTACAGAAAACTATATAAAAAAAACGGTTCTGAACAATCTCCTTATCTCTTCATATCTCCTTCCAACTTACCTCTCAGGTTCATCGAATACGGGGAGTACAAAGGGAATTACTACGGGACCAGTGTGGACTCGGTACGCTCCGTCCTCTCCAAGAACAAAGTGTGCCTATTGGATGTCCAGCCTCACGTAAGTGACACAAACCCAATCTTATCCCTTCATCCTCCCTACCTCCTTCTATTTTAAGATCTTTGGCACCTCTGCTCCTTGCTGTCAGATGCACATCTCCTTCTTCCCTGGCTCTCCTGAATTCCTTGGCTTCTTACTAGGTTACTAAAGCAGCTTTTAGAGGGGGCATTTCAAGGGGGCAATTACTTCAAATCTTCTATTTTTGAAGATTTCCTTTTCGGCTTCTGTGTCTTGCGCGGTGGCAATCAGTACCAACACAAATGGCTGGCTCGTGGTTTAATCTCTGAGCAGGAGTCCCATTAAGTCAAGGCCAGGCTCGTATCGTCTTGCTTTTGCCCCATAAGATCCCTTCATTTGTTTCTACTTAGCATTTAAAGACACCCTGGTACAAATGAATCCATTATATAGATTACAGTTCCCAAAGCCCCTTAGGCCTGAGCAGCAGTAAGAGTCACCCCTAGAGCCTTTTGCTAAAATGAGTTATAAGAGACTGTGGATGCTCATGTGGATGTTGGAAACTTCACCTTTTTAGTTTTTTGGCCTTCATTTGTATTGGTCTGTCAGCCAGCCGTCACCCCGCCCCTGCATGACTCCCAAATGACTCGGGGATCAGATCAGTGGCAGTATCAGAGCAACTTACTGCTCCCCTGCTGACTTGCTGAGCTGCGATGAATTCCTCCCCAGCAGTTCCTCTCCTGCCCCTTCTTTGGGTTTTTATCCTTCTTCCTATCAGTTGTTGGTTTTTGACCCACCGCCTATTAGCACAGTGTGGAGCCCTGATGGTGGTACATGAACCAGGAGGAGAGCCTAAGCCTGACGCCACCACTAACCAACATCTCTGCAACCTCTCTTTCACCTCTCAGGGAGTAGATTGTAGGTGTTGTTTTTGTGCAATTGTCACCAGTTGTGGAGACGAGAAGGCTGGGCAGATTTGGAAACGCATCTTTCATTTTCTTTTCATGCGTGCGAAGCACACATGCAAGACCTTTGGAAGTTTGTTTGATCCACCCATACATTTAAATGGTGGTTTCCACCCCCCTAAAATGATCTTGAACGATCTTCAGAAACCTAAAGATCCAATATTTTCATCCATCCTTCCATCAAAATTCTTCAACTTATCTGGATTCAAGTCGCTGTGTTATCTTTCAGAGCAAAATCCTTCATTCATCCTTTTTCCCAGCAGTTTTTTTTCAAGCTCCTCATTGGGAATCTCAAATGAGCTCTAAGTCGACCGAGAGGTCTCTTATCGGTCACACATGCCTTTAAAATCGCCAAAGGGATGAGGCCTGATGGATCCTAATTAGATGCCTAAACTACTTAAGCAAAGTAGCAGCTCCAGCCATCCATGATGGTATATCACTGCACCTCCTTTCATGGAGCAGGACCTAACGTGTGATGTGTGTTAACATTTATATGTAAGTGAGAAGTTTCCGAGAACATTTTATCTTAGGATAAGATCCCTCCATAAAGAGAAGCTGAAGTGTGTGTGATATGTCCCTGTCCTCTGTCAGTGGTAACAGCTCATACTCTTTTCTGCTTTTACGTTCATATTTGTTTTTGTCCTCTTTCTCTCTCCAGACGATAAAGCACCTGAGGACGTCAGAGTTTAAACCCTTCGTAGTGTTTGTGAAGCCTCCTTCAGTCGAGAGGTTGAGAGAGACCAGACAGAGTGCCAAAATCATATCAGGCAAGGAAGACAAGGGAACCGCCAAGCCGTTCACGGTAAGAGAATTAGAAGAGACGACTTTTTGAACCAGACTCAGATCAACATTTTGTATCGGTTAGATTTACTGCAGCTTGAAGTAACAGGTCGCTCTGACTTACTTTGACTACTGAGATATCTTAATATTACCCAGATTAGAATATTAGAAGAATGTTTAATGGTACCTGTGAGGAAATTGGATTACCATGGCAGACAATAGCTACAAATAGGAAATACATTAATAAAAGATGAAAGTGAAATATAAAAAAAAAAAAAACAATGAAACAAAACACAAATCGTGTCAAAACATAGTCAAAATTTATTTTAAAAGAAGTTCCTTGAGTGGCCACTGGGGGATGAACTTTTTTACATTTCACAGTTTAAACTACATTTGGGGGCTGCTTAGCTTTTTCTTAGGTTGAATCTCTCCTATTACTAAAATGATATGCTAGCTCTCATTAGCAGGTGATCATGTCCACACTATCTAGAGTCTGCTTGTCAGCTCGTTAAATATTTGATTTGTGTGTGTGATTCATGTGTCGGTGGATTGTTGTTGACTTTTAGCTACACAGAAAACAGCATGTTGTGGTGATGAGAAGTCGAGCTTTTTTTTTTTTAAAGGAACCAGGTCTGTTGGTCTCAGTGGTTAGAGCGTGCACTCAAAACCATCCTATCTCTCTCTACTGTCCCATAAACATATCAATAAAAGAAGTCTGAGTCAACCGACATTTTGAACTCCCAAGATAGGGAAACCAACGTCTCCTCCTTATATATTCACTCTTTGTGCATTACACTCTGAACACACAGTCCAATGATGTGAGGGTGTTTTCATGCTGCAGAAACACATAACACCAAACAGATTAGCAGCAGCAGGAATAACAGAAACCCTATCTGTGTGTACAGTTAGAGTGTGTGTGAGTGATGAGGTCATCCTCACACACCTTTATCCCTCCCCTACGGGGACGCAGATGAAACCAATTAGCTGGTGTTTGGTGCTGCTGTGAAGTTGTCGGGAGGGGAGACAGGGGAGGGGGGGGAGGGGGGTGATGGCTTTTCCAGGTCCATCAGGCGTGGTGCACGTTCGCGTGTTCCTCTCACCACAGGCAGCGTTAAGGCCAAGATCCTGGTCAGCAGCACAGCAGACGTGGTCTGATGGGACACTGGGAGGTAAGAAACACAAGGGGGGGGGGGGGGGGGGGAGGCTGACTGAGAGACAGGCCGTCAAAGACATGGAGACTGACTGACAACACAACAGCACAGTCCAGCAAGAGCGGGAACAGTCAGGGAGGTGAGGGGTTAGGAACGAGTCTGCAGGTGTAAATCCAACATGGTACGGTTGAATTCATGCTTATTGAAAACACATGTATAAAAGCATACAACTGGCAATTCAAATTTAAAACATGCCATTTTATTTAACTCTTACAAATATTCCCAGCCTCCTGCTAACTTTCCCATCCACTCTACTTTAAAGTCCATCCCCAAGAAAACATGTTTCTGTGCTGTCAAGCATGCAGCTTAATGTTTACAAAGTTAGTTAGACTCAGTGAACACACATGGAGAATAAAAAATCACTAGCAAACTCACTCCAGGTACGCAGTGTGTACAGGACGTTTACTGCTTGTAGCTACACTGCAAGCTACCGCACGCTAGCACAAGCTAACCGCCGGTGTTTGGCACCTGCCAGGCCAACTCTGAAAGTTAGCAAAAGTTTATCCCTCATTTTAGAAGAAGCTTTATCTGCTTGGTGTTTTGCCTCACTATGCTTATATATTATCTTCTTCCACTAAGTCCATGCATGTCCATCTCATTCTCCAGCTTGGATCGCATCCAATCGCTGAATTGTATCCACACAAACTCACCTCCTGCGCTTTCATTGGCTGGAGGAAAAACACCAGCTACCTGCCTACACATTCCCTACAGCAATGTGCTGCAGTTAAAGTTCAAGTCATCCTCGTCCTGAGATTGTTCACGCTGTTCTGTCAAACTTACAATGCAGCGTGCAGCTAGGCCACAGTTGAAGATCTGCTCAGACTCAGATCATCCTGTAGATATTTTACTTTACTGTCAAACTCTTAAAGCCTCCATACAGACACAAAGTCAGCTTCAATAAGTCACACGGTGAAATATAATTTCACCTCTGTCTGCTCTGCGTTTCGAAGCAGCGGTCCTAAGAACAATGAGCTTAAGTTGTCAGGAAAGGATCAGTTCTTACAGTCCTCGCTGTTGCTGTAATTACTCACTGTCCCTGTAGTAGCTCCAAATATTCTCTCAAGTTATACAAATGTACCTTTATAAAACGATGAGACAGACAGGCATATTTCAGCCGGCTAACATTCTGTGTCCCTGTACACTGACGGGACGTAGACCATCTCAGATTTGCTATTAAAAGTCTCTGAATGAAAAAACATTATTGGGTGAGTCGTCTCAGACATGAGCTACCCTCCGGGGGCCGTATTTCTCTTTCGCAGAGAGACAGGTCTGCTTTAATGATAAAGCCGAGGAACAGTCCTCTCATTGTTCCAGCAGAGCAGTCTGACTCTGGCCCCATTGTTTGAGCTGGAAACGATTCAGAGAAGCTTTTTCAAAATAAGGAGCTAAAAGCGTGATGTAGAAACGAGCAGAAATGTAAGAGGTAAGACTGCCATTGTCTGGAAGTCTTTGTTTTGTTTGACTGGGATCAATAAAGCAGGTTTCCCTGCGGAGGATAGAGTGTGTGCTGGTTTTATGTCTGAAGATGATACCTGAGTCTGCTGTTTTGTGCCACTAAAGTGTTGAAAAAGTTTATAGTCCCATAAAGTCAATTTTGCTTTCTAGACTGAATTTATAGTTAAGTTTGAATGAAAGCATAAAAGCATCACACTGATTAAAAGCTTTAAACACAGGTGTTAAAACTGACTTTAAGGAGCCTTGTGTCGTGCAATCACAATCACAATCAGAAATTCTGTTTGAATTTATTGGTAATGAAAACTTAAAAAGAGACAGAGAAGTCAGCACACTAAATGTCGCTTTTTGTGCAGTGAAAACTAGCATTCATCTTTGCTCGACAAAAAGACTCGACCCTATAGAAGAGTCACACTGTCCTTCAAGGAGAGAGATCTCGCTCAGGTCAGCGGATGGCCGTCTGTTTGTGTTCTTTTACCTTCACTATACAGTCTCTCTGCCCTTTTACACAGAAACCTGAATATTTGCAATCATTTCCTTCATCTGCTTTTTGCATTTTCTTTCCATCTTTCTACCCGGGTCTCGTTAAAGTGGCGCCCTGCTGTGATTAATGTGGTTTTACCTGAAGTGGCCTAACTAAAGGCAGACCTGGAGACTTGTAGTGGATATGGAAGCACCATACACACACAGGAAAAAAAACCACACAATTCTTCAAGCATCCAGGACAGGTCAGAGGGGTTACTTTGGACACAGCGGTCATCTTGTAAGTCCAGGTCCAAGAGTGTAAATCCTGCGGGGGGCTCTGGTCCAGATGACAGAGAATACGGTCCCTCTGAGAAACACTTTTCACTGCAGGCCAACAAACCGTCTGCCCTCCCTGAACTGTCTTTTTGGCTCAGCCGGTCCTCTGATAAAACCATCACACCTCCCTCACAGAAGACAATGGAGCTTCAGATGGAGTGAGTCCACTTTTTGTAACATGCGAGACAGCCTGTCAAAAAAAAAAAGGCAGACAGGACTTTTGCAGAGTGTTACAGCGAGTGAGTGTTTATATTTAGCTGCGCAGCTAATCCATTATAGAAGCGGAAAACCACCAGAAACATTCTGCAGTAACTCCTGGCGGGAAGGAACATCTCTAAAAATTGAGCCGTTTAGGAGTTTACAGCTTTAACGATGCTGTGTTTATGTGCGTACACATTGTATACACACACACACACACACATTATGCATCTTTGTGAGTGTATGTTTGGTTTTCTGCGCCTCAATGTGCATCTGTGTGTATTTATAATTGTGTTTGGCAAAGAGGGTTTAATATAAAACCATATCTGTTCCCCAGTAAAAACATAAATCTAAATCAGTGCAGCCTCTTTAGCTCCGCTTGGTGCGCTGAGGTCAGGATCAGCCCGGGCCCACACAACTGGAACCACTGCGGAGAGATACCTGGGCTCTCTGAGAATACTCTGTCTATGAATACAGGAGCCCCAGATTGGCAATGTTTACTCCCAACCTGATAAAAAATATGGTATTTGGCTATACCTCACAGTTACAATGCGGTTTTCTTCTTTACACTGGAGCGCTAATTTGCATATTGAGATGGAAAAGTCCTCATCCCCCCGTGAAGGACTCCTCTTCAGCACGAAACAATTTTCAGCTTTCCCTTCTTAATCTTGATGAAGCACCAAAAGGCTACCTCTGGTCTTGAAAAATTAAGCCAATGAGGAAGTGCAAAATCCTGCAGTTTGTCGAGTGTCCGCTTGATGCTGGCTCCAGGAACACAGGAAGTCACATACACACAACCGGCAGAAAAGCGTTTTTTACAACATGACTTAACATGTTTACAGCCTGGTACAAAAAACTAAATAGGTCTGATTAGTTTTTGTCATCACTGTATAGTGAGTGAATATTTTTAAAACTGCTCTGTTTAGATTTTGAAAACGATACATGTTAGGCGCGTAGCTGACCTGATTGATAGGTGGGCGCGATGTAAAGGTGCAAAACCCTGCCTCAGCTCCACCTCTCAGCCTGTCGTTAGGTTGACTGAGACAGGATTAAGTTAGGGTGAGACAGGATTTCCAACATGGCGGCTGCTGCTGATGAGCCTCCAGCGTCCCCTGCAGGAACAGATGGCTGACGTCACTCAGGCTTCAAACATCAATATTTACAGTCTATCTGAAGTACACGTCCTGTTTGATGGATTTCTAGTGCTCATATACTGTATTTAATGCTTTCTTGCAAATGGCCAATTTGAGTCAGGGTCATATCTCCCAGTTCTCACCTTTGACTCTGTCCCTTCGTGTGCACTTAGATTTACTTAGATTTTTGGCCTCCAGATCCTCTGAGGATTTTCTGCAGACCATCAGTATCCACCATGTCTATTTTTGGCCCTTCAGTTTTATGTCCAGCAGACTGGGCTGGCCGAGCAGCACGTTCACATGGTCACACTTCTCAGTTCAGACCGCTCCGCATAACACATACAAAAAAATCCAGGCCAACAACAATGTACATTCTACACATCTTTATTTTGGAATGTATGGTTTTTTTGTCCTCTGTTTATTCAAAGATTTTTTTCACTTTCTTTGTGAATCGGATAACCATGTGTATTCTTTGGAGGAAATTATGAAAATTCCTTGAGGTCAGCTCGTTGCACGGGGAGGTTTTAGTGCGCGGTTTGTGCCAGGGTTCACGTGTGGGTACTATGTTATAACAGGCATTTGTACGGGCCACTTTATGTTTATTTGTGTGTTCAAGGCCATGTAATTTGTGTTTACTGTATGTCAGTGTATCTCCTCTCTTGTTTACTGTGGCCTGTGTTTTCTCTTTGCAGCCAATGATCAGTTTGGTTTGTGCATCTCTCTTTTTTTGTTGTCTTTTTAAAACCAGTATTCTTTCTTCCTTTCTTTCTGTGTTTTTTTTTTTATGCGCCCTGCAGGAGGAGGACTTTGAGGAGATGGTGAAAACTGCCCAGACGATGGAGAGTCAGTACGGCCATCTGTTTGAAAAGGTCATCGTGAACGACGACCTCTCGACCGCCTTCGGCGAGTTGCGGCTGGCGTTAAAGAAAGTGGAAATGGAGACTCATTGGGTTCCAGTTAGCTGGACTCACTCCTGAGACTGTAAACGGAGAGAAGGGCAGGGATTTTACACAAATATGCAGGTTTTTATCTTTTTATGTCTGATGTGGCTGGTGTAGGGGGGAGAACAGTTATAAAACATGACAGGTGGATCTGTCGCCATACCTGAGCTGCTCGGAGCTACAAGCTTCTGCCTGGGATCAGGTTGGATTTAGACCTAAGCTGTGGTCTGGATATGGATCTCCAGGTTGGACCAGATCTTAAAGAGTTGAGGCTAAAGGGGCCCGTCTAGAATATGAGCCTTGGACATTGATCTGGGTCGCCCCGCCATGGCCACAAGTCGGAGCTGCTCTGGTCCAAACCAGAATGTGCAACCAGCCTGGATGATCACGCCAGCGGCAGTCCTGCCAGCACGTCAACCAGGCCTCCATCTTTAGTGTGTTTTTAACATTAGACAATTAGAAACCAAAGGTATCTACATATTTCTTCATGTTTGACAACTTACATGCATATGTCTGTAAAAGAACACAACCTCAGAGGGGGAGACTGTTTTGCTGTGTTCATGTGCTTCGATAATGCTTCCAAGACTGTTACTCCAAACATGGTCACGTACACTCTCAGCAGTATGTGTCATTTTATTTAAGAGAAATTAATATATTTTCTGATATCCTCCAGTTGTGTTGTTCTGCAAACTTTAAATACACATATCATAACTTTAAGAGCAACCTGATCTACAGCTAAGCCCAGTTCTGGCAGGTTTGATTTGGGTTTTTTTAACACTGGAGGCGTCTCTTCTTTCATTCAGTGTTTTGATTTAATCCCCCCAAGTCTAGTTTTTCCCCTAAAAAACACATAGAGAGCCATTTTATTTAGGTGTTATATATTCCATTTTAGAGCCTTTTTAAAAAAAAAAAAAAAAAAAAAAGCCAGTCTTCATCTGAAGGTGCCCAGCATAACAGCTTTGCTATTTAAAGTCCCAGAACTGGACACTTTTGGCTGTCTGCTTGTAGAAAATGTCCACAATTGTGTTTTATTAGGGTGGAGTCTTTATTTTTATTCACATAAAAAATGGCTTAAGCGCCGCTGCCGTCCAGGTTTTTAACTCTTAAGAAATGCTGAGTAATTGCTCCTGATTTGATGAGAATCAGCCGTTTATTTCTAATTTTAGTCTCCAATTCCCATTTCCATTTATACTGACTCCTTTCCTTTCATGCCCCTTCATAGAGATTAGTAATAAGTAATTAGTCCTGGCTGTGATTATCACAACTATAGCTAATGATGTGCAATTAATGAGGAGCAACTAAACATTAATAAAGGCTGCAAAAAAACAAAAATATCAGTGTCTTTCTGACGCTTTTCTATGATATAAAAAGAGGCTGCAAGCTGAGCTGCCGCTAGTTGAGTTTCTTTTTAGATAGGGATTCCTATCTCATCAATTCAAATAACTCGTAAAAATGAAATGAATGAAACTTTAAAATCAGTGTAACTTTGGCTGGGGGGCTGCTATCTTTAAATTGTTCTTCTCACTCACTGTATGAGCTGTACGGCCATCTCAGGTTGCATCGCCCAAATTCCTTAAACTCATTTATTTTGTGTTTTCCTAAAACTTAAGATTTTTTTTATATTTGATATCTGTTCATGTTTAAAAAAGGGTTATATGGCGTTTTTATTCTGTTATTTAATGACATCACACATTTAAAGGGACGTTAACACCACGCACCTCTTTACTCTCCCCTTCTTTTATTCATGTTAGTAACACATTAAGTTCACTTTTTATATATATTATATTTAATTTGTTTCCCTCTTCATGTGTTGCCTCTCTGTCATGTGTTTAATTGACTGGAATCAGATTTGTATAGCAATAATTTTATTTCCTTGCTGTAAATGAAATGCTGTTTATGAGCAAGTTGTACGATTACACGTTATTCTTGATAACTACTACATTTTACATTAAAGAGAGCTCAACTCCACATGTTTGTTTTTTTTCTTACGTTTGGAGGTATTTCATGTCTTCAGATGGGCAGCGATGGAGGGCAGTGATGTGTGAGGTGGAACGGTATGAGGAAAATATTCCAGCGTTTCTGGGATTTGTGCCCTTGAGTGCCATTCACATCTATCTTTGTTCTGTTGTTAAGAAAAATATTCCAGCAACATCTCTCAGCTGCCCCACAGAAGTTTCCTCCAGAGTGAACACTTGTGTCAACAGAGCTGACACCTTTCATGTCGTAAATGACGAGGCTGGAGAGTATAGTAAAAGTCAATCATGGCCTGTTTTTCTCAAATATGGCTGCACTACAGATGAATTCTGTTTGGATCAAATCTGAGTAGTTTCCCCACATTTCAATCACCTGTAATGCACGTTCATGTGTTACTTGATGCAAATCAATGCATGTTTATCTTCAATTCTGTACTTTGAATAGAAGGGTTGGGGAACATTGGCAGAAATAGCAGGCAGAAAAATGAGAGATGGTGCTTCTGCAGCATGGCCGACACTTTTTTTCAGAATTTAATTATTCATCTTTATATGTGAGAGTAACAGCAGAATATGTAAAGGTACATTGTAATGTAAAGTGACTTGGAGAGGTGTTTTTCTATTTTTTTTACAAACTGCGAGCAGCTACCAAAATGCTCCAACACTGGTTATTGGGTAAACTGAAAATCTATGTGAAAGTGGGTGTATAATGTGATTCAGCTGTCACCTTGCCAACTGGTGATAGTGTGAGTGTGAAGAAAAGGGCCTGAATGTAGTGACTGCTCAAATCACCAGAGCAGTGCAGCCCAGTTAAACCCCAGCGTCCTGCAGCAGCTGTGTGCCAAATCACTAACTCAGATGTCACTGGACCTTTGAAAACAGAAACTCTCTGAGAGCTAAGGGGATATGATGGGGGTGGTAAAAAAAAGGGGGCTCTTGAGAAGTCCAACATCTAACGAGAAAACCCAATTGAGGATTCCACAATCCTTTACTTGATGGAGATCCCAAACAATTTCCCTCACCAATCCAAGTTAAGTCACCTAACCTTCACATTTCCTCTGTTTCAAAGTGCTCCCTCAGATAGCTGCTTGGAACATGGGGGTTTAAAGCTAAGGTGAATCAGGATGCAGCAAGTTGGGGGAGGAGGAGGAGGAAGTTCTGGGGAAGGTCAGGAGGAGGTAACAGCACTCACACAGGTCTGAAGGGAGGAACCAGTTATCTCACATCGTGCTCTATCTTCATGTCCCTCACTCACTTTGTCTTCCTCTTTAAGTAGAAAAATAAAGAAGTACAGGAACATGGTGCCGCCCCATAGTGCCCACTGATCAACTGCAGGTTAAGTGAGTGAGGAGGTGAGTGAGCACATTTTTTCCCTTTCAAAAGTCATGAAGCTCAATGATTCATGTTTAGCAGAAACAGCACCATGCCTTGTCCTGGGTGTTTCAGCAGTGAAAGAAATGCTTGGACAGACACATTCTGGACATTTTATGTGGTTGTAAATTGAGCCTATTTCTTTTTATTTCACAAAGTCATATGCTGGCAAAGACACAGGACCTTTTAACAAGCGGCAACCTTAGGTTGAAAAACGAAGAAAAAGCAGAAGTGCAAAAAAACTGCAGTTCCTCAAGTGTCTCCAAAAGACCTGGAAGTCCCACACCACATATTCAAATGTCCATTTTGATAGCAGAAATTAAAATGGTCACAGTCTGGTACAACGACGATTTTGGTCTTATTAATTACGTCTTTATCGGCACTAACAGTAGCGGGTGTTGGGGGCGTTTAATGAATCAATTGTTCAAATCCTGGCAAGTGGGCACTGATGTTTAAAATGATACAGCTGATTGCCGATTCCGATATTGATACTTTTTAATTACTTCTTCGTAATTCTTTGTGTCTCTTTCTCAAGTAAGCGATGTGATTGGTTGTTTAAATGTTGTCAGTAGTTCCTCCTCTTGAAACATCCCTGAGACGTCTCACAAACTGCATGTTGCTTATCTTCCTCAGAGATGGTGTAAGAATCCTAATCCCACATTTTTTAATATAACGTCTGACCAAGAAAACAAATCAGTTGTGTCCAACATGTGACTTCTTCTTCTGCCCATTAAAAAACCTCCTCTGTTTCAGCAGATAGGTATACTCTCTTGACAACAACACAGCGGACACATCAGCTACTGACATCGGAACACGCCAAATTATTGCTGATGGGCCGATGAAGGTCAACAGGGGTGATACCAGCTGATACAGATGCTTAACATGTATCAGTGCAGCCCTACTTTTTACTGAAGATCTCTGAAGTAAAGGTTTCCGTGTCTCAGACTTAATGGAGCCTCTTCCTGTCTTTAGTATTTTAGTTTTGGGGTTTTTCCTCTTTTTCTGGATCATTAGGTCTTATTCACCTACTTTCTCATCCAGTGTATGCTTTTCCATGTATTTACTTTTGACTCATTCTGACTTTGGATGAAAGGATGACAGGTTTTGTTTTGATTACGCTACATACCCTTTAGATGGGATTTACACTCCCTGCATGTTTTCTTTGCAGCTTAACGAGCACCTGATCATTTTTTCATCAAAGGAAGTGATGGACATGTTGTTTTTATTTCTGGATTCCTTCATGTTTCATCAGCTTGCACCACTAGGAGTCCACGCCACCCTCAGAATAACGGGAGTGTTGCGGCGGTCCGGATTCTATCTTTTATCCGCTTTTCAAGAGAGGACGACAGAAACACATGTTCTCATATTAAGTTTACATGGATAACGAGCGGCCGGGAGCTGACCACATATGTCAAGGTACTTAAGATGAGGGATGATGTCATACTGAAATGAACAATGTGCGTACATTTAGGTAAAAGGCATTACCATACAGAAAGTAGTAGCAAATAAAGAGTTGCTTTCATAAATCTTCATGGAGCTGCAGAAAAGTCCGCCTGCAGCCCCCGGACTGATTTAAGATAACAAATCCTGCTTGGACTTTCTTCATCTTTCTCCGTCCTGCCCTGATGAGTGAGCTGCCATGTGAGTTAAGGCCAAGCGATTGCTTCCCCCGGCTCAGACATTAACACAGGCACTCACCAAATCAAAGACCTGCGCTCCGTCCAGCGACTGTAATAGTTTAACAGAGCACGGTAGAGATTGGTAGATTTATAGCGAGAGAAGTTCAACTTTTTATCTCGGATCCCAGAGTTTAATGTGGCACTGCAGTACGCTCTCTCATGTATTTATTTTCATGTCCATAAATGTGTGCATCAAAAGAAGCCATTGTATGGGAGAGACACGGGCCAAATCGAGGGAAGGGGTTCAGAGGAGAAGTGTGTTAAGAAGAAGAACATGGTCGGAAAAGTCAGAAAGCCCTTCCTTTCTCATGCACAGCAAAATGCATTACGTTGAAACCCCTCATGTGCCGCATGTTACGCTGCAATCATTTTGATTTACTACGTTTAAATTACAGCGCCAAGGTCAATATCCTGAAAAAGGGCTCAGTGTGATAAGCCCTGCCTTTGTAGCAAGACAAATTGTACATTATGAGCATCAGGAGGAGGGGGACACAAGCTCCTGCTGAGATTTTCATCTTTTTCATACATTTTGAATGAGCCGTCCTCGCTTCTCCCTGGCTTTCTGCTTTCCGGCCTTTCATGTGGTGACTCAGTTCATCACAGCGGCTTTACCGTAGCAGCCGGCAAGCAGCGGTGCCGCTCTGTTTTCCTCATCCTCAGTGAAATGCCCTTGACCATAGGGAGACTGTTCTGTAGACTAATGGGGCTTCAGGCCAGGAGCTTCTGCCCACCCTGTCTCCTCTGCCTAATTAGCCTCACCATTACCTCATGTCTGTGGGCAAAGGTCTTCAGGGCAAGGTACCTTGAGCTGTTTTTCTCAATCACAGGACTTTTAACAACCCAAGGAGTGAACAGGAGATGCCCTTCATTCCTCCCTGGCACAAAAAACACCCTTTTCACCTTGATGAGAACGTGTGGAAATCATAACAACACGCTCAGTCTAATAGCCGTAGCGCAGTTGGTCATTAATGCAGGGTGGCGTTTGTATACACTGCCTTCCAGGGCTGCGCAGGTTAACTTGATTCTGTTTGTGCATTTTGGAAATGAGATGAAGGGGTAAAAGTTCACCCCGGAGGGTCTTCTGGAGTGTCAAAATTCCTCTGACACATGTGGAGCTATAGTGCAGGGCACAGGGGCCGAGGCTGCACAAAGGTATTGACTATGTTAGAGCTGTCCACCTGTATTTTCTTAAACTTTCCTTGCATCCTTCCCCTGTGTCTTGTTGGCCTCTATGGGAGCCGTTTTTAATTACACTGACTCTGAACTGTCATCTTTAAAGTTAGCACTCTGGGGGTCAAGACCTTCTATGTGTGTGCTACAAATGAGCCTCGGTGCTGCCATGATCCTGGAGCTAAGGGAAAGTAAGGAAGACAAAACATATCACCTGCTTTCCAAATGTGTCTGTTCTCATTGCAATAAAGCATTCTTTTAATAGTCTGTATTATCCTGATGGCTTTCCAGCCGGGATGTCATTTGAACAAGTTTTTGCAACTTTTTTAAAAACCCACCTCATGCGCATGGAAATAGCCAAACAGTGTTTTCTCTATCTTCCAAACCATATTCCACTCAATAGGAATGCAGCAGTGCATCCAGCTGGGGTAAGAGAGCCCAGCAGCAGTAGCCATGCTGACCTTGTGTAATGATGGTAAGTGGATTACAAGGAGGCCCTGGTCACTGGTCATTAATATTTAGTCAACTAGAGTTACCTCCATGTGGCAGCAGCTACACCACAGGGACTGAGCCCAAGACCTTCAGGATACCTGAGAAGCTCGTTGCTTAGTGCACAGCTTGTTACAGTCGGTGGATTCTACATGAAAAGCATCAGCTTGATCTGTAGGCTTTACAGACTGAACACCCGGGACCAGACTTTAGTATAAAGAGTCTTAAGGTTTCCATTGGTAGTACGTGTCAGTCCAAGTATCGACCAATCAAGTATCATGCAGTCAGT